CTCATACAAGACTTGAAAGACATAAAAGACATTTTGAGTTTTGTCTTAGATAATACTTCTGGCCTCAGAAGACACACAATCATACGTGAAATCCTGTAGTTGTGAGTAATATGCAACAGACTTGAGATCTGAAGAACAATTTAATAGAAAAATCAACAAGGGACCATTAAGGGCCAAGAAAGCACGTAAAGACACAAGACAGCACAGAAAACTTACAGAAAATCAAAATTCTAAAAGCATGAACAGTTAAAGAGACCTCAAATAACAAAATTGGAAATGCTTGAAAAGGATGGAAATAAAATCCACAACAGTCAAAACATCCAAATTAACAATAAAAAACACAAGATGGTACAAAGGGCTTATGTGATATAAGTGTATACATATAAAACTCACTATTACAGTGCACCAAAGCTATCTGTGCACTCGAAGACCGCTAAAAGTGCAAGCAAGACACACAAAAACAAAGACACTGCACATGTGCAGTAGAGACTTCCAAACATACAATTGCTGTTCAGAAAACATTGGGTAACCCAAAGCAAGCTTGGAATTTTAATCGCCCAGAAATTTGTTACACCTGCTTTGGTTTCATTGATTTTCCTATATGCTGTCTTATATGCAATGTAAATGTAATTTTCATGTGCTGAAGCTGCCTGTTGAAAAGTTACGAAAATGATGGGTTTGAGATAGCATTCCCTCTTGCCCTTACCCTAATCTTTGATGCCCTCACAGAGCACAGATTCCTCATGAAAACTGTACCAATTTTTTCACCATCATGATTTCACCCCTCATGAACATTCTATCGTCCTTCATACAGTAGATGGTAATGTGATCACCACGGTCAGGAACATGCAGAAGGGAGAACATACAAGTTTAAGCCTCCTCCCTTGCATATGTTCTGCAACTGAGCATGACACTCATCCAATAGATTTGAAGGAAGGCCAGTATCGGAAGCTAAGAAGAGAACAGTGGTTCCGTTTCACTGTTTCACCAGTTCACCCTGATGTATCAATAGTAGTATGGTGGTTCTTCATGCCTTCTTGACTGCATTTACATTTTGGTTTCCTCCCTGGGTTACACTGCAGTCTCTCAGTAGATCTAAGAATGGCAATGCCAGCAATGGTGATTATGTATCGGTGAAATGGGATGTCACCGAATTAATAAAGACTTTTTGCACACCATAGCGGACAGTAATCAACTGCAATCTCCATCTTTGGCTCATGTGCACATGCATAGAAGTGGTGCTAAACACAAACTACACATGCACAGAAAATTGCTGTCGATTGATTTATATTTTGAGGTTGCAAATACTCCCTAATCTCCTTGAAAGGCCCATCAATTAGACAGATGGGATCTTGACGTTGGACTAATCCAGTGTTGGGTTGAGTAATTGGCTGCAGTTGGCTGAATAGACATAAGACAGGTTCTGCATGCAACTAAAAAGTACCTGAGATATCCTGGGTTTAACAGAATGAGATTGTTGTTCTATAAAGGATCTCCTATGACTAATTTCAAGAAAAGCCTCTTACAGGATTGTGTCTCCTACAATGAGAAATCATTGAAGTGGTTAAAGGAAGTTACAGAAACATTCATTCAATATTGCTTGTCGAGCGGGGATATTGAATATTGAGAAGGAGAGAGATGAAACCATCATCTGAAGCTTACCCAATCCTCAATGTCTCAGACTAATCCAATACAACTTATGTTCTTCAGGAGAGATCCTCCTCATACGTTCCATGAAATTGATAACCGGAGCTTGATTGCCTTACTTGTATCTTGTATACAGACAGAGAGACAGACAGACAGGAGAGAGAGAGAGAGAGAGAGAGAGAGAGAGAGAGAGAGAGAGAGACAGTGAGAGAGAGACAGTCTGAGAGAGGAGAAGACAGTGAGAGAGACAGTGGAGAGGAGACAGTGAGAGAGAGACAGTGAGAGAGAGAGCACAGAGGAGAGGTTTTTGAGAGACAGTGAGAAGGGGAGAGACAAGAGAGAGTGAGAGACAGTGAGAGAGAGAGACAGAGAGAGTGAGAGCAAGTGAGAGAGAGACAGTGAGAAGAGACAGAGAGAGAGACAGAGAGAGACAGAGACAGAGAGAGAGAGACAGAGAGGAGAGAGAACAGAGAGAGACAGAGAGAAGAGACAGAGAAGAGAGGGAAAAAGAAACAGTTAAAGAGGGAAAAAGAGGAAGAAAAAGTTGGGGGGGGAGAAAAAAAGGAGAAGAGGAACGAGAAGAAGAAAGAGAGTGAGAGAGATTGGAACCCATTTAGTAGGATCAAAATTTTACATCCCTAGGTCCCCCAAGATACACCTTATGAGTGATAAATTGCAGCAGGAATTTAAACAGGCAGTGGCATGGTTTCTTCACATGCCCCCCCCCCCCCCAAGAATAAGGGACATTGTGACATAGCTCTCATCTTAAAGAGTACAATCAAAGACCTAGTCCAAGCTGATTGATCATCAGAGAAAAATCCACTCCCATGTAAGGGTCACAGGCCTACGAGAGGCCGAGGCCCAGGGTAGTGCATCTAGGCAGAAACTACACATCTCCCCATCATCCTCCTCACCAGAACTTACAGGGTTCATAACCATGTGTGGTATTAAATGTGGACTACTAACAAGATTCATGTCAAAGTGTCATTCAACCTTCTGGTGAGGTCCTAAATAGGTCCCCATGCATGGCAATCAGAAGTAGGTATTCAGTAAACACAAAAGGTCACTGAAGAAAAGAGTGGAGGTGATGCATGAAATAGAGAGCCACAAAATTAAAGACAGAGGAAAGTACACATCAGAGTCTTCTCAGAGTTGATTATGTCTTCAATTTAATTAGTTTGTTAAAGAGCAAAAATCACTAGAAGTGTTCCTAAACAGCGCACTGGGCTTTATAAAACAAGCACAATCTTTTAATGTAAAAGAGTCAATTGAAAATACCTCTCTGAAATAACACTTTGAGATGTCCATACTCACAGCAGGCTGAAAAGAACACTATGAACTCTGTGCTCTAGATGAATGAACGTTAGATTCAAGGGTTGAAATCAAGGTTAAATAAATATAAGACAATAAATGGTTGAACAGACATGTCACAATAATAACAATTATTATTTGTTTTTTGTTCAACATGTTTTCACAAAATAGCACATAAGTAAAGTAAATGAGAAAGCTCGCTCGCTACAGTAAAAACTTCCAGATATCACTGATATGGAAGAAAAACAACAGTCAAAAAACTTTTCTTGAGAAGATTTATTTGAATTTCAATAACTGGGTGTGTTCTAATAAGAAGACTTCTGCCTCAACTAGCAAACAAAAATTAAACATGTCACTTTTGAAGCACAAAGAGTTTTGCTGTAAATACACCATCAATTTAAAAAATAAAATTTTTAACTTGGGTCGTTCTTTTTCTAGACAAGCAGATTCACTTCAAATGTTACTTTTGCCACTACAAAAGAAAAGGTAGAAAATATATGTGTAATGAATAATAAATAATATGTACTTTTAAGTTCTTTTGCCTGTGGTGCATCAGTATTACCTCCTATTAACAGTGCTGGAGCTAGACAATTTTGGCCCTGGGGCAATGATGAAATGTAGCCCCCCCCCCCCCATTAAAAATGTGAAAGTTGTATTAAGAAACTGTATTAATTATTTTATTTCAACAAATAACAACTTTTAAGCTAGAAAAAGTTTTTGGAAATATTTTTGAGTAATAGCTTTAAGTAAAAGTGTTCAGTGATCAAATTATACAATTTCCATGGTGAACTTAAAACACTAAAAAATGTGTTTAGTTAGTGTGTAATAAAATCACTTGTTAAATAGAGGAAATAATAAATATGAATTTCAGAAGTACCTATTTTAATGTTAGCATCATTTGATTCATTTCATAAAGTTTTATGTTATAAGTAATGACTATAATTAACTTTTCAAGGTAAAAATTAATTGAAAATTTTAGAAAACTTCAGACTGCTGTACGACTTATAAAATTCAAATAACAATTTTCTTGAGTTCTAATTTCTTGTTCAATTTTTTAAATAATGTTTTCCCCGTCAGTCCCATTATCGTCTCCCTTGACTTGTGGGGACCCAGGCGATCGCCTAGTCTGCTCATGCCTAGCACCAGCACTGCCCATAAACATGCAATATTGAATAAGGAACTTACCTCTGGTGGCAAAGGCTTCTTTTCTGGAGTCATGGACATGGGTATGACAGGCTCCTCTGGAGGCGGGGCCATTACAGGCGGTACGGCAGGTGTGGGCAGAGCTGGATGAGGCACAGGAACTGCATTGGCGGTACTTTGTCTGCCACGGCGAGTGCTACCACCTGGCAAATCAAATCAGCATCATCACGTACAGAACCTACCACTCAATGTGCAACAACATTGCATATCCAGTCATCTGTGGAAAACTGAGTATCACACAGGCATATCAGAGGCTGCCTGGAAACTTGTTTGAAAAAGAGATCCTTTCATGCAAGGTAAGGTCAAAAGAATTCAACCTAAAATACAACACAGATGACTGAATGTTGTACATTAGTTACACATCCTTTCAAGAAGAGACATACCACATGCTCACAAAGAATGAAACAGATTTACTCAGACAGAGAAGTCAAAGATCTTGACAAGGAATTTGACAAGCAAAAAATTAACAAAAACTATAAAAAGAATAAATGCACCACACAGGAACACACGCAAGCGCTTATTTGAATGCATTCAATTAAACACACTGACTATGCAGAAGTAAGCCAAGCACTACTCTATATTACATGAAGCTAGGTGAGCACCACGATGCTGGATTATTTTGTGAAACAATGATATTAAAAAGATAATGATGATCAGATACAAGGACATCATGCTTAAAATAATATAAAATGAAATCAAAACATGGGATCATACAGGGAATAAGTTTTTATGATTTAACCTGGAATGTGTACTATATAATTAAAATGTAAATACGAATAAGCATTTTTTATTAAATAATACGATTCTATCAAAAACATAAGGAAACACTGTATATGTACGTGAAATGTCAGAGCATCATTATCTACTATCATGTTTCTAAGAAGAATGTTTAATAAAGAACGAGCATCTGAAAAATGGAATAGGAAATGTGGTCAAGAAAAGCATGAAGATCACTCTGGCAAAAGTGAGTAAAATCAGAAAGCAAACTTTAATGTATCTGGTAGTACATACTCCTCAACTCCACATCTTAATCCATTAGAGAGCAAGTATTTCTGTTGACAGTATGAAGAGCAATAAAATCTACTTTTGATATTGTTTGCACTTTCTTATCGCTTCCTTCTTCACAATGATATGGTCAGGTCACAGTTTATGAAATACAAACAATCCCTTCATAATTCTTTTTTAGGAAAACTGTATGACAGGTCACAGTAAAGTCATCTTGCAAAAGGGTTTGTTCAATGCATTCAAATGTAATCAGTTTACGTATCTCACAAAACTGATTACTACGCAAAAAAATATGCAAAACAATGTACCACATTTTTAAGTACACAGCTAATTATAACTGTACGAAAACATCTACTCAAAAGACATCAAGGGACAACTCATAATACATTGAAAATAAGTACCAGCATCTATTCAAACAGTAGTAAAATTGTAAGGCTAAATAAACATTACATTAACATGCTTCAACCAATAAAAACATTAGTTTACAATCTCCAGCTGCAAAAGAATTTAACTCATACATAAGTAAATGCAAATTTTAAAATAAAAATAATGTTCTACTTGAGTGAAAATGCAACAAAAGTGATTGAAAAATAATCCACACACAATGTTTACACTGATTAAGCTGGAAACATACAAACCATCAAAAATTTATAATTCTAAACACTAGACTGAAAAAGAATACAGACAGTACAACACTATTAGTGCACCAAGTACTGAAATAATGGTCAGAAATGCAGTTCTGTTGGAATTACATTAATTCATTCTACAACAAACTTTTTGAAGAATGTAAAAGATTGAATCATTTGTATTCTGCATTATCAATGACCATTTCAAGTTCAATTGAAAATATTTCCATTCACATGCATATGGATCCACAGCTGCAATAATAACAAATATAAACTGCTCAAAAGATTAAAATAACACATAGCAAACACCAAAAACAGAAAACTATCACTGAAAAACAGGAGAAGTACAATGAAAGGATGTGTTGCACAGTATTATGCATTAAATTACTTAGGGTACAAATTGTTCATAAAGATAAAAATGTCACCTGCCCTCAATATAAGCATGTCTATTTTAGATAACTTATTATGTAAGAAATACAATCAAGTAAAGTGGAAGAGTACCTATGATATAATTGTGTATTCAAAAATAATTCTTTGATGGTTTCACGAGTCCTGCTGCAAACTATTGAATTTTTTAAGAGAATGCACTATGAAAGAAGATATAACTCCAGAAGAATCAAAATAATCCACTACTCTTTAAGCCTTCCGTTGGAGATAAGGACAATAAACTTTTTGAGCTCATATCAACTTTCTTGTAATTTTCAACAAATTTTTAATCAGTAAATATTTATAACCATCCTCAATATTGATAAAGAAAAGTGATTGTCTCAATTTCTTAGAAGTATTCCAGTCTTCCACTTAACTTGGTCATAGAATTTTGTTAGTGGGAGGTATTGTGCGTTAGCAGGTACTAAATTGGTAAATATCATCCAGTATAGAAACAGCAATATTTATATCTGGTGCAAAACATAATACAATTGGTAAGACCAACTTCGCAAAATATCTATGAAACACAATGAAGCATACATCTTAAAATGCACTATACATAAGTGATATACATACATACACACAATTTACTTCATTAAATCATATACATTTTAGTTTGAAACTAAAACTTTTGAAATACTGTTTACATAACTGAATGATATTAGGTACAAGAGACGGTAACGGGTCACTCCCCAAAATCAACACTCTGCCCATTTGTATAGTTATGAACCATTCCTCTGAGCCCACCGGAAAAACATCCCCACC